GGAACCAGGGCTTGAACTCAGGCCTTTGAGAAAGAATTCTTATTTATGTATATTTTTAATAGAGAAGATGATCACCTTCTCAAAAACTAAGTTTTTAAGTGGTCATTACTACCTGGGCAATTCAAATTCATACTGAATTTTAATTCATTACTGGGAATAATCTGCAAAAATTAGCTAAAGAAATGCAAAAGATTTTTGTGAGTCCTTGCAAAACAGGTACGATAAAGGCCACAGCAGGCAAACTGACGCCAGCACCTACCATTAACCCTCAACACCACAGCTGCACGAGCGGCGGCCCTTTCACTTCCAGCACCCACTCTCTGTAATCCTATGAAGCAAATGTTTTAAGGCAGGAAATAAAAGTAGAAGTAGTAAACTACTCATCAAGAGATCTCAACTGAATCCAGCTTATCCAGTAGATCCACAGTGCTAGTTGGTTACTTTCACTGATATATTGGTTCAATATTTATAAATTTATGTTAGGAAACAGGAATGTCTGGATAGACAAAAACTAGAGACCTCAGTATGACATGTTACCATGTTAACATTCACTTATTAATCAAAGGAAAGCGAGAACATGCTTACTCATAGCAGCTTTTCCAAAAAAATTGCTCATGTTCCCTTTTCCAGGTGCTTTGGGGCCAGCTGAAGATACCTTAAACACAGAAACACACTCTTAATAAAATGGAAAATTTAGAGGAAATGGACTCCTAGATATACTTGAATTACCAATCTGGAATAATATCAGTGCAATTGAAGTAGTAAGAATGTGACCAACTAAAATACAGAAAAAACACATAAACATGATTTTTTCCTAGCGCTTAGGTTGTTCTTAAGAGTAGTACTGTCTTGAATAATCTCTCCTACGACAAAGCATGCTTTCCTGATGGTATAATCTCTATGAAATCAAGCCAAGATGTAGGCATTAGATAAGAACTAATCTAAAACAATAATCAGGAACACATGGTATCTGATCCTAATTTATAAAGCTTTGTCATAGTTCTTATAAAATTATCCACTGATATGTCTACGCTTCTCGAGTACATTCTAAAACAATTTACACTAAGATTACAAAAGATTAAAGGTGGTATTGGGTATAATCCAGGACAGTGGGCAAGATACCACAATTTTAATTATCAGAAGTGGATCTGAATTCTGATTCAAGGCTGGGGAGATGGCTCAGTAGAATAAGTGCTTCCCTAAATTCTGATTCTACCATTTCATGGTGACAATAGTAAAAGTTTAATAGTAAACTACCCAGCAAGTGTAGGCCTCAGTTTTACCACATACAAAATATAAACATTGAGACCCAAACAGAATTTTTTTTTGTTCCAAGGATTGAACTCAGGACCTTGTGTTTGCCAGGCAGGTGCTTAAGCCACTGAGCTGTCTCTCCAGCCCCCAAAGAGAATGGACACAAAGATTTAAACAAAGATCAAACTATTGGCACACAATAGGAATTCAATAAATGTCTGTGTTTCCCTCTACCACGCTTCTCCTTTCCCAAAGCAGAAGCTTGAAACTGACAATATTAATAATAGCAATAATAATTACATGTATGTCTCTGGATTTTTTTTGTTTTTGTTACTAGGAATCAAACTCAGGACTTTGCGTATGTCAGGCAGGTTGTCTGTCACTGAGCTACATCCCTGGCTATTTTTCTGGATTTTAACAGTATTGTGATTAAGTTAATACCCTTAATTTAATTTAGATAACAACAAAAGGAAGTTAATAAAAAAAAAAGAAAACGAACAGAACAAGAGAGCTAACTACACTAGAAAGGTATACAGGGTGTGATAGAAAAATAAGAGTTAATGCCCACATTTTTCACATTTGTATTACAGTAAAAGAGCTACTGTCGTCATTCCCCTTCAGAGCTC